GATTAAACGAGGTATTGGGATACCGATGATCGAGTCTCGGGCAAGCAACGTACCGATTGACAAAGGGAATTGCATACGGGGTTGCTTAAATCCTCGACATCGTGGTTCATCCGATGAGATCATCGAGGAGCATGTGGGAGCCAACATGGGTATCCAGATCCCGCTGTTGGTTATTGACCGGAGAGGCGTCTCGGTCATGTCTGCATGTCTCCCGAACCCGTAGGGTCTACACACTTAAGGTTCGGTGGCGCTAGGGTTGTAGAGATATGAGTATGCAGTAAACCGAAAGTTGTTCGGAGTCCCGGATGAGATCCGGGACATCGCGAGGAGTTCCGGAATGGTCCGGAGGTAAAGAATTATATATAGGAAGTCGAGTTTCGGCCATCAGGAAAGTTTCGGGGGTCACCGGTATTGTACCGGGACCACCGGAAGGGTCCCGGGGGTCCACAGGGTGGGGCCACCTATCCCGAAGGGCCCCATGGGCTGAAGTGGGAGGGGAACCAGCCCCAGGTGGGCTGGTGCGCCCCCCTTGGCCCCCCTCCGCCTAGGGTTGGAAACCCTAGGGGTGGGGGGCGCCTCCACTTGCCTTGGGGGGCAAGGCACCCCCTTTGGCCGCCGCCTCCCTTGGAGATTCAATCTCCTAGGGCCGGTGCCCCCTAGGGGCCCTATATAAAGAGGAGGGGAGGGAGGGCAGCCGCGCCCATTCACTTGGTGCCTCCCTTTCCCCTTGCTACACCTCTCCCTCTCGCAGACGCTTGGTGAAGCCCTGCCGGGATCCATGCTGCATCCACCACCACGCCGTCGTGCTGCTGGATCTCCATCAACCTCTCCTTCCCCCTTGCTGGATCAAGAAGGAGGAGATGTCTTCCCCAACCGTACGTGTGTTGAACGCGAAGGTGCTGTCCGTTCAGCACTAGGATCATCGGTGATTTGGATCACGACGAGTACGACTCCCTCAACCCCGTTCTCTTGAACGCTTCCGCTCGATCTACAAGGGTATGTAGATGCACTCCTCTCTCTAGTTGCTAGATGAATTGATCTTGGTGAAACTGTAGGAAATTTTTTATTTTCTACTACTTTCCCCAACAAAACTTGGGATATGCTGAGGGGTATCGTCGAAACGAGTGACTTGTCATGGTTAGTCGTGGGGGATTTCAATGAGGTCCTTCATGCGCATGAACATGACAACATCGGCAATAGGAGTCAAGCTCAGATGGATCTGTTCCGTGATGCTCTAGATACATGCGGTCTCTCAGACATTGGATACTCTGGGAACAGCTGGACTTTTGAGAAGAAGGTTACCAGAGGAACTTTCACTAGAGTCAGATTAGACAAGGGCGTTGCAAACCCGGCTTGGTCTATTGCTTTCCCGGGAGCCACGTTGGAGCATAGAATAGGAGCTACGTCTGATCACGCACCTATCTTTGTACGTTACAGCGATTTGCATGCATGCAACAGTGGGTTGAGATCATCTAAATACGAAATATGCTGGGAGAGAGACCCAGCGCTGCCGGCTGTGGTGGAGACCGCCTGGACATCCACTGGGGTATCATCGGTCCAAGAGCTAAAGGACAAAATGCAGGCGCTGGCAGGGGATCTATCAAGATGGGACCGCACACACTTCGGCAATGTTTGCCGGTAGATAGCGCGGCTAAGGAGACAGCTACAGGAGTTACGTGATTCCCTAGGCAGATCAAATCCCAATGATTTGGAGATTAAAATTGTTGATCGCCTAACTGAATTGTACCACAGAGAAGAAATGCTGTGGAGACAAAGGGCAACATTGGAGTGGCTCACACATGGGGACAAAAATACATATTTTTTCCACCTTAGAGATAGCAGAAGGAGAAGGAAAAATCAGATCAAATCATTGCAGCAACCGGACGGGCAAATAACTGATGATAGAAGTGAGATGGAGTCTGTGACTACAGCCTTCTATGAGGAGCTGTACACATTGGAGGGGGTTCAAAATATGAATCAAGTCTTGGACACAGTCCCACGTAAGGTTACCCCATCGACGAATGAATCTCTTAACGCGCCATATACTCAAATGGAGGTAAAAAAATGCTCTATTCCAAATGTTCCCACTTAAAGCACCTGGCCCAGATCTGTGGGGATGAAGTCACCAATGTGGTTCTGAAAATCGTTGAGGGTATGGAGATGGCTGCGAGTATCAATGAGACTATGCTAGTTCTAATCCCCAAGGTAAAAAATTCCACCCTCTTATCCCAGTTTTGACCTATCAGTTTGTGCAATGTATTATACAAGATAGCTTCAAAGGTAATATCCAACCGCCTCAAGTTAGTGTTACCCGACATTATTTCCGAGGAGCAGGCAGCATTTGTCCCAAGCAGACTGATCACCGACAACATCATAACTGCTTATGAAAGCCTTCATTTTATGAAGCGAAACAAGGCGAAGAAGCATCAATCGTGTGCACTGAAACTTGATATGATGAAGGCATATGACAGGGCCGAGTGGGAATATTTGAGAGCTATAATGCTTAAGTTGGGCTTCACAGAGAGGTGGGTCGATATAGTGATGAATCTTGTGAGCATAGTGAAGTTCTCCGTCATGTTTAATGGTAAGAAATTGCAGGAGTTTGCGCCAGCTCGTGGAATCAGACAAGGGGACCCAATTTCCCTATACTTGTTCTTGTTAGCAGCAGAGGGCCTTTCGTGCCTCCTTAAATCCAGAAGTGAGTCATCCAATCTAAGTGGTTTGCAGGTAGCTTCCTTGGCTCCACCAGTGAATCACCTTTTATTTGCTGCTGACAGCTTGCTGTTCTTCAAGGCTAATGGTGTGGGTGCTAATGAGGTAAACCAGGTTCTGAATATTTACCGTCAGGCTACTGGTCAGCGCATAAATTTTTCAAAATCATCAATCTTCTTCAGCAAAGGAGTGCCTGAGAATGTGAGAGTACAAATTAAAGAGCTACTTAACGTCCCAAACGAGACACTAAATGATAAATATTTGGGAATGCCAGCTGACATTGGTAACTCAAAGAATGGGGCCTTCAATAGTTAAAGGACCGGCTATGGAGTAAGGTACAGGGGTGGATTGCAAACACAATGTCAATAGCGGGCAAAGAAGTCCTTGTTAAAGCTGTAGCTCAGGCAGTGCCAGTTTTTTCCATGTCTTGCTTCAAGCTCCCAAGAGGATTGTGTGAACACCTCAACATGTTGATAAGGAAATTCTGGTGGGGGAGCAAAGAGGGCAAATGCAAACCTCATTGGGTCTCTTGGCAAACTTTGAACCAACCGAAAGGAATGGGGGGCTTAGGTTTTAAAGATTTTGAGTTGTTCAATCTTGCTATGCTTGCGAGGCAGGCTTGGAGGTTGCTATAGAACCCAGAGGCTTTGAGTGCAAGGCTATTAAAAAGCATATACTTCCCAAATTCTGATATTTTTCAGGCTAGCCTCGGGAGCCACCCTAGCTAGATATGGAGGGCTATCATTGAAGGAAGAGATATCTTAAAGCAGGGCTTGATAAGGCGGGTGGGTAATGGTAACACGACACACATCTAGAGTGATAATTGGCTTCCCAGGGATGATATGCTTCGTCCGTACGGCAGTGGAGTACAGAACCCGCCATCTTTGGTCTCGGAACTAATTGACCACACATTCGCAACGTGGAACAGAGGGACGGTGGAGGCGACTTTCATGCCAATGGACGCTCGAGTTATTTTGGGGATTCCTCTCTGCACCCGCAATATTCCCGACTTTTGGTGCTGGCATTTTGAGAAGCATGGCTCGTTCACTGTGAAATCAGCTTATAAAATGCTAGTAGCGACGAAACAACGGAGATAAGCATGGTTGGAGGGAACCTCGGGCTCTTCCAGTTCCAATGCAGAGGAGAAAGTTTGGAAAAGGCTGTGGAATACGAGTGTTCCGGCCAAGGTGAGGATGTTCCTGTGGCGCCTTTCCAAACACTCGTTACCAACTAATGACGTACGCATGCACCGCCACATGATAGATTCAGCCAGCTGCGGGCTTTGTGGCGCGCCTGACTCATGGCGGCATTCTCTCATCGAATGTGCCGCTTCAAGATGCACCCGGGCTCTCAGTGACAGTGAAATGGTGCAGCAAATGATGGAAGTTACTGAACCCTTAGCCAAACAATGGCTGTTTACTCTAATAGAATCCCTGTCGCAGCAGAAATTCACATTGCTCGTGGTAACTTTGTGGGCTATTTGGTCGGCACGACGGAAGGCAATATATGAAGGCATATTCCAGAGCCCACATTCCACACATGCGTTTATAAACATGTACATATCAGATTTGGAAATCATTGACAGTAGCAATACGCGTGCTGTCTAGGGACTGTTATCACATGTGGCGCCTAATGCTAGACCCAAGGCTCCTCCAATGGGCTATGCAAAAATTCATGTTGACGCAGGGGTCAGATTTAAGCGTGGAGGCTCCGCAGCTGCTATTTGTAGGGATGACCAAGGGTTCTATCTTGGAAGCTCTGCACTTGTCATCTTTGGTGTCCGCGATCCTACTGTTTTGGAGGCGATTACATGTCGGGAGGCCTTAGCATTGGCAGAGGACCTCAACTTGCAACAGTTCATCATTGCCTCGTATGGCAAACAAGTTGTCTCAGACATTTCTAAGGGGGCGAGAGGCCGGTATGGTGCTATCATTAGCGAAATAAATCTCAATGCTACTATGTTTAATTGTAAGTTTGGTTTCGAGGGTTGTGCCGCAAACTATGAGGCCCATAGACTAGCTAAATTTGCTCTTTCTCAGGGTCCGGGACGCCATGTGTGGTTTGGGAATCCCCATGACCCTTCTTGTATCCCACTTCATGTGGATTTTTTCACCCCTCAAAAAAAAGTTGATGAAATGATATTTTTCTCATAAAAAAATGATGAAATGAAATTAGGGTGGTGCTCTCTTTGGTAGACTGAATCGAGGTGTGGAACACTACAGCGTCATTAGCGACGGCGCGAGCTAGCCCGATCATGGCACGTTAGGCACTCGCTGATCCCTCCACGATCAACGCGCCACGGACGGCATGCCGACAGCCTTGTGCGCGGTGAACCCGCCGTCGACGAGCAGGTTGTGCCCGGTGACGAACTTGGCCTCGTCCGACGCCAGGTACAGCGCCGCCCTCGCCACGTCCTCCGCTTCCAGCACGGCCCCGTCCAGCTCGCTCCAGTCCGTCTCCACCACCCGCCTCAGCGCCGCCTCGTCCATGCCGGGGCACATCTCTGCCATCGACCGCAACGTCAGCGGCGTCACGAGGGCGTGCGGCGAGATGGCGTTCACCCGCACGCCATCCCGCGCCAGAGGTCCCGCGGCCGCGCGCACCGCGGCAATGACGGTGGCCTTAGAGATGGCGTACGCGAGGGCCGGGGCGCCGAAGGTGAGCACGCCCATGACGCTGGCCGTGCAGAGGATGCTGCCGCGGCGGCGCGGTGCCATGACGCGCACGCCGTGCTTGATGCACGCGACCGCCGAACGCGCGTTCACCGCCATCACGCGGTCGAAGTCGGCGAGGTCCAGGGCGCCCACGGCGGTCTGCGTCACGGACCCGGACATGCCAGCGTTGCTGTAGAGGATGTCCAGGTGTCCATGCCGCTCCACGGCATGGTCCACTGCCGCGGCGATCTGCGCCTCATCGGAGACGTCGCAACGGAGGTAGGCCACGCCCGGGCCAACCTCCGCGGCAACCGAGCGGCCCAGGTCGTCCTGCACGTCGGCGATGATGACCTTGGCGCCGTTCCTGATGAACTCCATGGCCGTCACCTTGCCAATGCCGCTCGCGGCGCCGGTGATCACCGCCACCTTACCAGCTAACCTGTACCCATATCGGCAGCATATCATGACGCAGAAGATGATAATACACTCGAACAAAATTGTCCGGTGCGCAACAACGGAGAGTACCAGCAGCATTGAGAGACTGGAAAGATGATGTAGACAAACCTTTGAGAGTTCGGAGCCGTGGAGAAGCCATTGACGAAACCTGACGCCGTCAACCCATGAACTCTGCTCGTCTCCCTGAGAACGAGCTGCACGGCTTTGAACATCCTCTGCTCGCTATCTTTCTCTTCGCCAACAGGGTAAGGCAGTGGCGAAGACGATCGAGCTTCGGAACAACTAGGCAGTGGCTGGTAACAGATCTAGCCTTGAGTTCTTGGTCTTTTCGTTTGGGTCTTTGGGAACTGTCGCGTTCCCCTCGCGTGCTTTGGAAAAATCTAACCAGGAATTCCAAATCATAGTCTTTGTCGCCGCGTGTTTATGGATCAGCGCAGCATCTAAGCTCGGGTAGATCACATATTCAGAGCGCTGCTACAGATACGATTACGATTTTTTGTACGACGAACAATACCAGCCATTTACCCACGACAGACTAGGATCCGATTTCCATACTACTGGTAATCCAACGATGATGCTTTACTCAGCGGACGTGATGGAAGGCCCTCTTCATTTGTCGTACGTGTTCACACACGAACACGTCACCGTGTACCCTCGACGCCGGGGGTGATGCACCGCAGCTCACGTCGAAGGAGACCCGTCCGGAAGCGCGGTACGCAGGCAATCCGGCAGACGCTTTTGTAGACCCGAAACCCCACACTCCCGGGAGGGACCCCGTCAGGACGCGCGGCGGCTATGGGCTGCCCTAGGTCGGCCTGACCGCCCCTAGGGCCTCGTGGATCGCCGCCCTGCAACAAGAAGAACGAACGAAGAACGAGGAAGAAGAAGAACAAGGGAGAGAGATAAAGATAAAGATAAAAGATGATAGATTGATTTGTTCGATTGTGTGTTGTTCAATCGGCCGTCACCTCTTGTCTATATAAAAGGCAGATGGACTTCCCGTACAAGAAAAGGACTTGCCTTGCCGTCCAAATCATCAAAATCTAACCAAATTAGGACTTCTTACGACCTCCGGCCCGGATGTCCGGCTCTAGGCCCGGATGATCCGGCCAACCCCAGATTTTTGACAGCAATCCACTAATCGGGCTGTAACTTTTGCATACGAACTCGGATTAAGATAATTGTTATATGAAAATCAACCGCCTCGATGAGACGCACAACTTTGCTGTTGAACACTTTTTGATCCGAGGTCATCTCGAGGGAGTTTCGGGCTGTTTTCTAACATCTGCAGCAGAAAAACTTGTTCGGACGTCCGGACGATTGCCCGGACTGTCCGGCCTTTACCCGGATCATCCGGGAGTTGACCCAGATCATCCGGTTTCAGCGTCAACCTTCTGGAATCTTAGTGCTTCAATTACCCGGATGATCCGGACCCCGGCCCGGATGATCCGGCCAACATTGGTGCAGCGCACGGTTTTGCCTATAACTTTTGCATACGACCTCGGATGGGGACGATCTTTATTTCAAAATCGTCCGTTTCGACGAGACGAAGAACTTTGCAGTTGTAACTTTTTCCATCAGAGGTCATCTTAATTAGGTTCCGTGCCATTCTTTAATCAGGTGTCAACACGGGTATCTCCGAAATTGTCATATCTTTTGCACTTGAGCTCCTTTTTGGTCCATTTTCATATTTATTTCGATCATCTTGACGAAGGCCATCAAATGGTGACATAAACTCATAATTTTAACCTCATTTCATTATAGACTCAAGTCACTCTTTCCGATCATGCCATTTTTGAGCGTCAACACATGCCCCCCTGTTTTTCGGCAAAAGTAGTATGCCGAAAAATAACTTGTACCGTGTTGGTTCTAAGGAAGATGTCAACACTCCATCGGCCACGTCGCATGTGCTTAGAGCGATAAATATATACCGGCCATTTATTTGAGGCGGATTCTTGATGCAAACTTGGGTGAAACCTTCTCAACTTCATTAACAATCCCATAGATATGTATCTCAAGGTCATCCTCCAAACCATATTGCTCACCCTTTTGCTAGGATTTTGCAAATAGTCAACAATAAACTTTCTTCAATCCTTACTTTTTGCCTGCATAAAAAATCATTAGTGGCCGAAGCGATGGACTTCGATTCATCCTTAGCTATGTTGACGAGACTAAGCATCGGCTATTGAATGAAATACAATACACCATGATTAACATAGTAGCCGGATGCTTGCTGTGCCAACTCTTTTGAATTGTCATGCCTAGAAATATGAACAATTTTAAAGCAACCAAGGTAAATTTTGCATCTAGGCATACCTCAAGATAAACTACAAGTGATTCGTCAAAACATTCATAACCCTTGGATATTTGTTGCACTACTCATAACGAATCACCAAAAGCCTTAATATGTTTAGCACATATGGCGAAAGTTCCAAACCGAATAACATTGCATATTCAGCTTTGATTATTGTGCAATAAATATTTTAAGAGACATGAGGCTTCACATAACAGCACCATATGGAGATATATAAACAAAACCAACACCATGGCCATTGTTATGAATTCAACAGTCGAAACATAATCTCCATAGCACTAGAGAGACAAGGTTAATATTACTTAACATGTACATTGTCTCGGTTCCAATTGAACTAAGGACGATGTTAGAATTTCACACCGGCCATGATCGGATAGTTTCTTAGGACGATAGTTAATTATCGGCCATTATCATGAGGTCCATGTAGAATTCATCCATTAAAGCATGTATAGCCGAAATAAACAAATAAAATAGCAATAAAATATTTCGGCCCCTTTGTCTTAGCAACAAAAATGTAACTAACCAAATATATAGTGATTTGGTAATACTCTGTCATGATATGGAAAATTATGTTGCATCCATGGATCAAAATAAGTCCATGGAGGGTAACTGATCATACCTGTGGATGAATTCCATGACAAAGGCATCAATGGAATTGTTGAAGAAAATGGATGATGCGCTAACCGAAGATTTTGATGTTGTGATGCGCACCTTCGGCTTAATTGTTTGTGTCTTTCATTATTTTCCTTCTTCACTTTTATTGTACTTGTTGCAACAGAAGCATGCATATCATTTTTGTCTTGATTGATCTTCTTGGGAACCCATGCCATGTTCCTCTTTCTCATCTCTTGTGCACTAAAATTTTGTAATTTCTTCTTTTGCCAATACGATAAGCCGAGTGGGCATCTCGGCTGTGATTCTGTTTTGACCAATGACAATTCTTTCTTGGCCTTGTGCACTCTCAACTTCTTTTCTTCAGATTTGGCACTTTGACTCTCAATAATTGGTTGCTTCATCTCATTGCTTTTAGTAGCCAATGTCAACACTTTCATTGGCTCTTTTTCATTTGAGATCAAATCTGAAGTAGCACTTTTACGACCATCTCTTTTAACGCGGTAAACTTGTTTGACCACCTCTTTCTTCTTCCTTGAGCTTTGGACCGATTCCTTATGATTGAAACGGTCTTTGACGCGTGGTTGTTCAAATGTTGATCTCCTTGGAGCTGCATAGTATTGGTGAGATGGTCTAGAATAAGATGGAGAATGTGCCCTTGTATCATACCTGTCCCATAATGAATATGTATCTATATGAGCATAGGGAGGCATCCACGGCATTGGCATTTGCGGCCCAAAATAAGGATATGAATATGTTGCATTAAAATTATTACTTTGCCAATACCAATCCTCATATTTGCGCCTTGGGGGTGATCTTGCTTTCTTTGCATGATTTGGCCGATAAGCATTCTTCTCTTCACTCTTCTTTTGATATTTATCCAATAGTTCAGCGAAGGTGATTTTTGATCTCTTACACTTGCGCTTATTTTGGCTTTTGTTTTCTTTTGTTTTGCTTCCATCGATCATTGGATTTGCTTGCTGCCCCCAGTCCTTAGCGTCTCCATTGTAGCTTCGATGGAAATTTTGCCCTCAAGGTTATGTTCATTATGCTCTTCAACAAATTCTTTACTTGAAAGCTCGATCCCATCACATGCTATTTTTACCTTCTCTTTAAATGGATCGGCTTGAAGCAGCCGATGCAAAAACTTTCTACCATCGGGACCAATCGGAATAGACTGGTCATCTCTTGGTGTCTCAACAAATTTCAATCGTCCTTTATCAATGGCCGATTTAACTATTTGACGAAACATATTGCAATCCTCAAAATTATGTTTGAACGAATGATGCAACCTACAATACATTCGTCCTTGAATTGATGGCTTAACATGGTGATCAAGAATTCTAATGTAATTATTTTTCAACAACAAATCAAAGATTTGATCACACATGTTTGAATCAAAGGTATACCTTTTGTTTTCTAGCCGATCTTGTTGTGAGAACAGCTTTGGAGTTAAGCAAACGAATGGTTCAGATTTGGAATCTCCCCATTCGGCTATGCATTGTGTTTTTCACTCTATCTCCGATGTCTTTGGATAAGATATTATATTAGCATCGGTTTTCTCAATAGAATTTAACCTTGGCTTTAAATTTCTAAAACGAAGATATTTAGAACATACATGTCTCAGTTGAGACCAAGTGTAAGCCAAGTAAGAAATAAGCAAAGCTACCCAACTAGATATGAACTTTAGAGAAAGCAACAGGAAAAGCTTTGATTGTAACAATAAGTCATTATCGGTCTTTATAAATGGCGCAATGGGTTGACCGATATGTTCCATAACAATTTTACTACTAACAAGTAAATTACCCTTCTTCATTGGTCTTTCAAAATTACTTATGAGAATATTTCTTATAAATGCATCAATAATGAAGTTGCAACCAAATCTGAAAATAGGTAAATTACTCGCTATGCATACCTCTTCAAATATGTTGGGAGAGCATGATAGTGGTGCCATTTGAAGAACATCTCGCTCCATCTTTGGATGGCTCCCCAACACCTTGTCATCATCTTTTTCTTAAATCCGTGCATCATTGCTTTGAAGATTTTTGCCGGCCGAACTTTGTTCGGCTACTTGTTCTTGTCCTTGAAACTTGTCAATTTCTACGACACGGAACTCATAGGGCAGGAAGTAGGTTCCATTAACTTCAGAAAAAATCAAGCACCATTGTTTTCCTATGCTTGCCATGCCCTTTCTCAATAATGCTTGCCTCGTTGGATTTGATGGATTCAGAATATATGCTACTTGATTCGGCTTTTTCAACCGAAGCACTTTCATGTTTCGAATCA